AAATGATTTGACTATTTCAAGGAGGGAGGGACTTTCTCCATGGCAACACAGCTGAGCGGGGTCTGTCGCCAGGAATGATTCCTCATCCTGTATCAGTCGCTCCATGTCACTGTGTAAGTGTGTCTAGAGACGGACATTTGTATGTGCTTCTTGCTGCCTTTCTACCTTAGTGCCTGCTATCAGAAGCTTGACAAATTAGTAAAAAACTAACATTTTTTTTTAAATGTGAACTATTTATTTAAGATTTTCCCTTAGATTTAAACTCTTTTTTACTTCCTTCTTTGATCTCTTTCTCAAAGCCAGTACTGAACACCACAGTGTGCCATACTTGTGCTAGGTGCTATGAGAATGATAACAGAAAACACATGGATGGTGAAAATAGTAATGGAGTGTTTTGAGCACTGCTTGGATGGTGAGAGTAGTGATAGAGTGTTTTGAGCACTACTTGGTACTATTTGGAGTACTCTATATAATCTGTCACTGTCACTGTCCTTCCATTGTTCATCGATTTGCCCAGTAACATTGTGACACTTGTTACTATGTTTGGCATATTGAATATGTCACAGGGAGCTTTCCAGGCTCTGCCCTGCAGGTGAGATACTCTCGGTAGCTTGCCAGGCTCTCTGAGAGGGATGGAGGAATGAACTCAGGTCGACCTTGTCGGCCGCATGCAAGGCAAACGCCCTACCTGCTCTGCTATCGCTCCAGCCCTGCTCATGGGGGGCCCAAGTCCTTCTCTATAATCTACCTTATTTAAATATTGGAACTTGGCAAGGCCGATAAATCTTTCATTTTAAAAGTGAGAAAACCGACTCAGAAATGAAGTAACTTACCCAAGTCAAGCAGCTAGTAAGTTCGCCACCATGCTGGTAATCGGCCTGTGTGCAACTGAGGTCATTTCACAGGGTCAGGAGGCTTCTCATTCCCTTCCCTACTACATTGGTTGAATTTGCTAATTAACTCTTATTTGTCAGTATTTCTTCAGTAGTTTAAACTTCCCATGAGAGCAAACTAAAAGGTGGTGTAGAAAAGGATGTAGGAAGAGGAATATAATGCCTTCTCATCCTGGAATAATGAGAACGTTTCCTTCAGGAAATGGAACTTACGTTGCTCTTTGAGAATAGGATGTGACTCCATATTGGCTGCCTAGAGAGAGACTTGGGGTTGGGGAGGAGCTCTGTGCCAGAGTGGTAAGCGCTTTGCAAAAGAAGGTCGTTAGCCAGTGTTAATAATCATAAACATATATATAAATACATACACGCAGATATGTAATGCATGTAACATATATTAGGGTACTTTATAATTTTTAAAAATGAATAAATTTACATATCACATACCTAAAGACATGCTACTGCTAAAGATAAAAATTGTGAACTCACAAGGATTAATCAAAGAGACAAGAGCAGGTGATTGAATTGATAGCCTTGTAGGAAAACACAAGGAAGTCATTGAATTCATAGTATGGATGAAACTATAGCCCAGGCCCTTATGGAAGCAATGCAATTGAAGGCCTGGAACTCCAGAAGAACTTAGGATATTAGATGTACCAAATACCTTCCTAGAATGTAGGATAAGGAATGAGTCTAAAAGTGGGAGGGTACATTGAAAGTTTTCAGAAAGAGAAAAGATAACCAGTTTCCTTTTCTCCTCCCCCCACCCCCTAACACCCTCCACCCCCCACCCCCCGCCGCATAGCTAAGCAGTTACCCCTGCAGTGGGAAACTGGATGTTTACTTTGAGAAAAAAAATTCAATAAAAAGCTCTTATCTGCCTGGTATACTTGGACACGTAAGCCTTAATGAACACAAGGGGGTCCTGAGAGAGTCCTCAGACCAACTCAGCAACTCCCTGATGCTTTTTCCCACTTAGCTCCCAGAATGGAATCATTATCTCAGCAGGCAGAAGAGCAGAGGGGTCTCTCTGGAAAGCAGCCCCAGCAGTGATATTGATATTTTAGAGATATCCAGAATTAGGGTGATGAGACTAATTCCCCAAGTAAAGCCATATCTGAAGACTTAGCAGCAATAATTTAGAAATTATGAATGAAAATTTTGTTCAGTCTTGAATTATATACCTAGGCAGACTATCATTCAGATGTATGAGTTGAATAAAAATGTCCTTAAATATTCAAAATATCAAAAGAAAAAGATACTACCTATGTACCTATTTCTCAAAATACTGTTTATATACTCTGCCAAGGTAGGAAATAATCAAAAATCAAAAAAGAAATCTTGAAATACAGAGAACAGGAGTATCTTCAACCCAGAAGAGATATGAAGCAAAACTTCTAGGATGATGGTTAAGGAAAATTCTAGGAAGACACGGTCTAGAGAGAATACAGTTGTAATTGGCCAGAGAGAGGGACTGCAGGAAATATATTTCCAAAGGGGAAATGCGTTTGATAGGTTATCTAATAAATTTAAGCAATATTTTCAGATTGAAAAAGATTTTCAAATTTTGTCCCATTTGTGGGTAGATCTAATGATAGATAACTATGCTCAATACTATTGGCAAGCTATCGGCACTCAACAAGTGAGAAAAATGCAGTTATCACTTCAGGAATGGCAGAAAGGAGTAGTGTATTACAGGATGGAAGAGTAAAACTACTTTTGCACCTATAATGAGGTAAATAATACAGATTTTATTTTAAATTTTTATATTCAATATTGAGAATGAGAAGCATATTGAGATTAGAGAATCAAAACCTCGTGGTTTAATTAAAAGTAAGTTGATAATCTGTATATACGAGGAGATAAGATGTTTGTGTAAAAGAAGAGTAATTTAAGAAAGTCAAATTCTGATGGTAAGATCACAGGGGAAGATATCTCAAACTGGTACTCAAAAGAATAAGAAATGTTAATATCAGCTTATTTAGAAATAGGAAGATAAAGAAACAGCAATTAAAGTACAAGAAACTGTGGCTTTTTCGTTGTAAGATGTACAGTAACAAACTTTTTAAGAGCATGTGTATTTTATTAAACACATACATATGGGCAGGGGGCTTGTACGTGTGTGGTACAGAACCCAGAGCCTCACACCTACCTGCACAGCAAGTCCTCAACCACTGAGCCACACCCCCGACCATGTGAATTTTTTTTCGTCCTGTATGTTCAAATTAAGAGGATCACATTAAAGACAAATTTGGAGTGGGGGGTGATGGGAGGCCTGGAGGTTTGTTTGTTTTGATCACACCCGACAGTGCTCAGGGCTTGCACTCAGGCCTGCCTGGCAGGGCTCCAGGGACTTTATGGGGTGCCAGGGATTGAACCCAGGTCAGCTGCATGAAGGCCTTACCTGCTGTATTATCACTTTGACACCACGTTAGTTTGAAGTTAGTTTGAGGCTTTCCAGTTAGTTTGAAGTTAGTTTGAAGACAGAGCCTTGGCTCTGTCCCTTATCAGCTCTGTGCCAGTGGGCAACCGCTTGCCTTACTGAACACCCTGGTTTCTTCATTTGTAAAAGGAGGTCAGAAAATATGACTTCTCAAATGTCTTTTCACTATAATGTCCTTATATTCTCTAATAAAAGTAATTGTTAAAAAAAAAAGATAATTGTCCTATGAAGCAAATAAAGAGTTAAAACCTGGGTGGAGGCTTAAAATTCCCATATTTTTCCCTTTTTTTGGTTGAAATCAGACTTGGAGTGAAATTTTCATCATGGTCTCTGAAAAGAATTCAACCCCACTTCCATTGTAGACCCTGGGGGCAGGGAATTGACTGCTGGCTCAGGGACACGTAGCTGAGTGTTATTTCAGTATGGGTTCTTTTTTTTCAATATTTAATATTTTTCAGTATGAATCACAGGTGAAATTTCCGTGCCATGTGTAAACAATTTCACTTTTTTATTGAAACAATGAATTCAGGAATGCCATATTGGGCTATCAGCCATTTTGCTTCTATCAATGTAGGGGAAAATGCTTTAATATGAGTACACAAAATGATGTCATTTAATATAGGAGTAGATCTTATAATTCAAGGTCAGCAAATCTAGGGGGTGATTTTAGGTCACAAGCTAGCTTTGAAAAAAAAGGGAAAGAACATTTTTCCCCCCTCCATCTTCTCAAGTTTGTTCTTACCAGTTTTCCTCTCGGATTTTGGGCTAGATGGTAGAGTAACGCACATGGTTGTGAATCGGGGTGTCTGGCTAATATCCGTCCCGTTGAAACATGTTGTCTGTTGTCTGGAAAATTTCCTTTCCCATTCAGGGCTTCAGTTTCCCCATCTGTAAAAAGAAAGCATTGGTTTAAATGATGTTCAAGATACCTTTCAGCTTTAGGATTCTATGTTTCTTGTTCTTAGCATTTTTATGCCTTACCTTAGGTGTATAAAATGACTATGCAAGAGAACCGATTAGATTTTAACATTTTTCCTTTAAAAGCTCAGTATAGGGCCAGGGAGATAGTTTAAAGGGTTGAGTACCTGCTTTGCAAGTGCCCCATGGCACCAAGCACACACAGCCAGGAGTGACCAAGAAAACGACGTACTTTGATTTTTTGTGTGTGAGTGATTTTCTGGTTTGGTTTTTTGGGTTGTTTTCTGTTTGTTTTTTGGAAGGGGGAGTGGTTGGGGGTTATACTCAGATTATTCCTGGTAGTTTTCAGGGGACCAAAGGGGATGCCAGAGATAGAACCTGGATTGGCTGTATGCAAGGCAAATGCCCTACCCGCTGTACTATTGCCCAGGCCCCTGGTTTGGTTTGGTTTGGTTTGGGGGCCACACCCAGCTGTGCTCAGAGCTTACTCCTGGCTTCATGCTCAGGGATCACTCCTAACAACACAGAGGGGACTATGTAGCAGGAATTGAAGCAGGGTCAGTCATGTGCAAGACACGCTCCCTAATGGCTGTATTCTCTCTATTCAAATAGCAATAGTGTTTTAAATAGCACCCCAAAAGTGTGGCTTGCGATGTTGACTTAGTCATCTTTTAAAGATTTTTTTAATGAATCATATTTCATAAGTGCCTGCCAGAATGTCTTTTAATTCCATTTTTCCACCTTTGCAGTTAAGATATCAACATGGATTAGGCACTCCAGACTTGAGACAAACCCTTCCCAACCTGAAAAACTTCATGGAACATGGACTGATGGTCAGGTGGTGAGTATCTTTCTCTCTCAGAACTAGAAACTGGTATTGGCAAACAGTCCAAGAAGTGTCCTGATTGCCCCCTTGCTGCATACCTGCTGTCTGGGTTTTCTCACTCTGTCCCGATGGCTAAAGAGAAGGACAGACAGCAGCATGGCGTCTATAGGAACTCTGGGCTGGCTCAGGAGAGTGAGACCCCTCCGGAGGGGGTTGGGCTGGTGGTGATATTACACATCCGAGGCTGGTTGGGAAGGGAAACCTGGAGTTCAGCCAATGTGACTCGTTAAAGGGAGACTGCGTGGAACCAGAGATAGTACAGGGGTGAACTCACACACCTTGCACGCAGACGACCCCAGTTCAGTCCCCAGCACACAATAATCCCTTGCACAATACCAGTTGCAGCCCTCAGAGTCCCTAAATCCTGTTGGGGTCACCTGAGTAAAATCCCAGCACCTCAGGACTGAAGCCGCACCAGCTTTTCAGGCCCTCACTTTTTGTTTTTTATTAATTTTTATTAGTGAAACACCATGAGGTACAGTTGTAGACTTACAAATTTTTGTGCTTGGGTTTCAATTATACAATGATCAAATACCCGTCCCTCCACCAGTGCCCATTTTCCACCACCATGGATCCCCTCACTTTAAATCAGAGAACCATCTGGACAGGCGCTTGGGAGCCCCTCCCTCCCACCAGGAAAGGGAGACATAGAACCCCCGGCTTCTCTGAAGGACAAGAGGAGGACCTAATTATAGAAAGACACCCAGGATTCATGGCTGTGAGAAGGACAGACGAAAGACTGGACGAGATCACGTTGTCAGCACCTAGGCGGAGACAAGGAGGCACGGACTGCGACATTGGGTGTAGGAGTGTGGTTTTTTGTTGTTTCTTTCTTTCTTTACTTTTGGGCCACACCCAGTAATGCGCAGGGTTTACTCCTGGCTCTGCACTCAGGAATCACTCCTGGCAGTGCCCAGGGGACCCTATGCGATGCCACGGATTGAACCCAGGTCTGTCGCGTGCCAGGCAAATGCCCTCCCTGCTGTAGTGTGGCTCCCGCCTTGGAATGCTTCTTAGATTTGGTGTCAGTGCCTGTTGTACCGTAAAGTTGAGCTGCTGCTTAAAAGTGCTTTGTTAGAGATAGATATTCGGAGAGCCCGGCAAGCTCCCCGTGACGTATTCGATATGCCAAACACAGTAACAACAAAGTCTCCAATGGAGACGTTACTGGGCCCGCTTGAGCAAATCGACGATCAACGGGAGGGCCTTTAGAGATAGCTGAGGAGACGGGAGTGCAAACTGTATGTGCAGGAAACTCAGTCTCAACCCCTGACCCCTGGTGGTCTCAGCTCTGGGTGAGGCACAGCCAGAGCACCACCAGGTTGTCGGCTGCAAAGAAAGAACTTTGTCAGGACAAACAAGACCCAGTTGAAAAAAGAAGGGGAGAGAAAATGTCAAATGCCACAAACTCATTAGATTGTTTTGTTTGACTTAAATAATGCTTCTCTCTCTAGTAATTTTTTGTTGTTTTTTTTTGGGGGGGGGCAGTTTTGTATTTGCTTTGAGGCCATCCCAACTCTGCTCAGGCTTACCTCCTAACTCTGCTCAGGGATCATATGGGAGCTCGAGATTGAACCTGGGTCGGCCACATGCTAGGCAAACCCCCTGCCTGCCGTATTATCCCTGTGGTTCATAGTAATTCTAGAAGTTGGAAACCTTAATTGAGCAGCAGTAACTTACCAAATAATGAAAGTGGAGAGTCAGTCCTTAGACAGCTTGAAGCCAAATTGTTTCTTGTAAAGGTAATTGATTTCTGTTCTCATATCTTATCTACCTGCTTTGTGAGCTTAAAGATTTTCTTCTCTGGGGGCCAGAGTGATAGTACAGTGTGGAAGGCGTTTGCCTTGCACTTGGCCAACCCGGGTTCAATTCCCGGCATCCTATATGGTCTCCCCAGCACCACCGGGAGTAATTCCTGAGTGCAGAGCCAGGAGTAACTCCTGAGCATAGCGCGGTATAACCCAAAAAAGAAAAAAAAGTATTTCCTTTCTGGAACTTAATTTCTTATCTCTAATTCTTGCCTTAACCCTCCAGTTCAGAGTAAAATGGGATTAGACAGAAACACCACTGTGGGAAGGAAATAAAAAGATTTGTTTGATTTTCTTCTGTGCTGCATAAGATTGATCTTATGGATAAGTGACGCCTATGATTGATCTTTATTTTGGCTTCTGTTCTGTTGGGTAGAGGCTGCTCAGGAGGGCATGGAGACTCCTCCTGGCAATCCTCAACCATGAGGACAAGACACTTCCAGGGCTCTGTGGTGATGCCAGGGCCACACCCATGAGGAGAGGCTGCGCCCCGAAGTGCTTTGGGGCCCATGTGGCGCTGGGGACCAGAGTGGGCTGGCTGCACACAAGGCAGATGCTTTAGCCCTTAGCTCTTTCCGAGCCCAGATCTCTAATACTAGATCAGGTGCCTCTGTGAGCAAATATACAATTTCAAGAATTCTGCTCATAATACCGAGATCATTTGAAAAGCTTAGCATTGATATGAAACATTGATAGGAAACAAGGGGTGGGCCTTGAGAGTGACATGGAAGAATGGAGGCAGGGAGCAAGCTCAAGGGCGACAGCCTGAGGCCTCCAGGCCGAGCCCCAGCACCACGTTCTCTGCCTCCCTGTACACAACCTGGAGCTGCACCTGGACCCACAGCAATGCTGTAGAGACCCCCAATTTTTTTTCTAAAATATCGGATAAGAAGAATAAGAAAGAGGAGCTTAGGGATAGGTCCGTGGCAGAGTTCTTTCCTGGCAAGTGTGGGACCTTGAGTGTGATCTCCAGCACTGCCCCACACCTGTCAAACACTGCAGCACTTCTGATGCTGAGGCCACAGCCCAGCGTGCAGTCTGTGATACACCTGACACTCCGCGGATGCTCAGTGTCACCGCCAAGTATGTGTGAAACCTTGTCATCCCACAGCAGCAAAAGACTGGGGGAAAAATTATAATTTTTAAAAACCGAATAGTACATAATCTAGCAGTCTTTTGTTTAGGATCGTCCTTAAGGAAAGTTCTGTGATAGGCACCCCAGAGAGACTTAAGGTTTGTCTGTATTGCAAACCATAATGCACAAAAGGAAAAGGAGAGAGAGAGAGAGAGAGAGAGAGAGAGAGAGAGAGAGAGAGAGAGAGATTGAGAGAGAGAGCCAGCAAGCAAGAAGGAAAGTGCTTCCCATAGAAGGAGGGTGCAGTTTTGGGGGATGGTGGGCGGGAAATGGGATGTTTGTGGTAGAAAATGTACACTGGTGGGGGATGAATTTGGATCATTGTATGACTGAAACCCAATCATGAATAGCTTTGTAATGGTCTATCTCATGGATGTTCAATTAAAAAAAATTTTTTTTAAAGTAATGTGGCATTCATGCCCAATTCAGTCAATTTAATCAATGGCTGAATAAATAGCAGTACTCCTACATTTGAAAAAAAAAAGACTGAAGGTTTGTGATGTAGTTGGAAATGGCCTATAATTCATGAAAGGTTTTATGTCACAAATGATAAATACTCGTACTTTCAAAGAGGCAACCCTCAGTACTACCTGATTAAACACTTAAATGAATGGATCTTGTTCAGTATAAACAGCATATCGTTCCAATCCAGTATTATCTCTTGATACTCCTTTTTCACTATTTGAAGATGTGATCTTTCTTTTTTTTGTTTTTTTTTTTGGGGGGGAGGGGCCACACGCAGCAGTACTCAAGGGTTATTCCTGGCTCTACACTCAGGAATAACTCCTGGCTTTGCTCAGGGAACCATATGGGATACTGGGGATCAAACTCAGGTCGGTCGCTTTTCAGACAAGTGCCCTACCCACTGTACTGTCATTCCAGTTCCTGTAACAGTATTTTTTTTTTTTTTAGTGAATGAAATTGTTTGCTTGTATCTTTCACAACTATTACAATGGGGTTGGGCATAACCAGTGTTGCTTGGGGCTTACTTCTGTCTCTCCAGCCTACTACTTTTTATCTGTTGTTACATAGAAGGGGCAGCAATGGTATCTATCTTTGTCTTCTTACTGACTTTAAGATAATGCTCTTGGGGCCAGAGAAGTAATGCACTTGCCTTGCACGTGACCCAGGTTTTTACCACTGTGTATGATCCCCTGAGCAGAGAGCCAGGAGTTAGCCTTGAGCACTCAAAAACAAACCAAAAAAAGGAAAGAAGTAAAGAAATAAAAAATGCTTCTGTTCCCAGTTCCCAGCTGTTTTTTAAACTAGAAAATCTGTTTAAATCGTGAAAATTCATGTTTTCAATTTGATTTAAAATTTTAATCAATTTTTTAAGTAATTTATTCAGTAGGGAGATACGCCAGATGTCCTGAGGATATATGGCTGGGAGGCGGAGGATCCCTGTTCAGTGTCCAGCACCTCATGGTCCCTCAAGCCCCAGGGGTGAGCCCCATCACTGCTGAGACCGAGTATTGCAGAGTGCCCCCCCCCCCAGCCCCCTGAACACTACTTGGGAAACTCCAAAAGTACTAAATCTGATATTTCTGTATTTGTTCTGTCAGTTTAACATATCAGTAAATATTAATATCTTTGCCAGGGTTCTTGGGGTAGGCAGCCAGGTTGGACCACGTCTGGCAGTGCGTGAGTGCTATTCTGGCTCTGTGCTCGGGGGTCACTTCTGAAAGTGCTTGCAGGGAGGTGGGGGGATCATTTGGTGCAGGGGATTCAAACTATGGTCCACTGCAACATGAACATAAAATCTTTTTTTTGGGGGGGGGGGGGTCACACCCAGCAATGCACAGGGTTACTCCTGGCTTTGCACTCAGGAATTACTCCTGGCGGTGCTCAGAGGACCATATGGGATGCTGGGAATTGAACCCGGATCTGCCGTGTGCAAGACAAACACCCTTCTCACTGTGCGATCACTCCAGCCCCAAACATAAAATCTTAAAACTGCAAGAAATGGTCCTGGTCTGCTGGACATAGCCCAGAAGCCAAAAATGGGGGGAATT